CTCTTGCTTTCCCAGTTTTCCAGGGAGATGCCTGTAACCATAAATGCACAGCCTGATAGTGTGAGGGAGTTGGCAATACAGGGAGCCATATGAACCAATGAGGGAAGGAAGCATAGAGAAATGGATGCTGACCCATATCTTTTTCCTAAAATCACTATACAAAGTTAACCACTTGGAGGCAAGCCTTGTCTCAGTTCTGCTTTTCAGGGAAGCCCAGACAAGACTGTACCTATTATATATAAATGAGAAATTTGAGAGTTTAAAGGTTAACTAACTTACTCAATGCCTCAAAGGCAGTAAGTATTACAGCTAGGATCTAAGCCTATGTCTATTTGACACAAAACTAGCGTTTTTAGCACCATCTTTAATGTCTTATAATTATTACAAAAATATTGCCTCGGAAAATATAATCCATCTTTTTTTGAGTGTTTTGGTTTGAAAAATATATCTAAATTTCTGCAACTTTTTCTATAAAAAGCAAATTGTTTAAATGAATTAAATACTGCCTCAGCCCAGGGGTTCAAGACCAATCTGCACAGCTTGGTGAGAACTCATCTCTACAATAAATCAAAAAGTAGCCAGGCATAATGGTGAGCACTGTAGTTCTAGCTATTTGGAAGGCTGAATTAGAAGGATCACCTGAACCCAACAGGACTAGGTTGAGGTAGCTGTGAGCGTGTCACTGCACTCTAGCCTGTGCAACAGAGTGAGACTCCAACTTAAATAATAATAATAGTAATGATGTTGATGATGATGATGTTGAAATCTATGATAAAAGACTCTGAATATAATATTAAGCTGTTAAGAATACAAGAAGTGCTGAAATAGAAGTAATTGTCATCCAAAAGTTTTGGTTTGAATCCCAAAGGTTCTTATTACTAAGTCCTAGGTAAAACACTTTTCTTTTGCAGAAAAGCATACATAATACCTGACAACTTTATAAAATATAAATTAATTAAAAAATACATACATTTGTCTCTTCAACTGGAATAAAATAAGCAGTCAACAGATCTACACATGTTGATAACTTACAGGATGTTAAGCACAAACCTACAATAATACATACACTAAAAAAATAAAAAAGAAGAGAGAAAACTCAAAGATAAAAATCAGTCAGTGGTTTGTTGCATAATGAAATAAACTTATCATGGAGACCTGGCCCTGGAACGGAGGCTGGACTGTGTCTCGATTCCTTTGGTCTACAGAGTCTAATGTTGTCTTTTTTCTGTGTACCTTATTTTAGTTTTAGAATTCCTAGAGTAGAAAACCTCAAGTAAAAGGGAATCCCAAGCTTCTTGGATAGGAAATATATTTGAAAAAAATACTAACCAAAAAGAATAGCTCAAAGGAAAGAAGAAAGAAGGAAGGAAGAGAGACTGGGAGACAGGGAGGGAACTCCAAAGAAAAGGAAGATTTAAGAAGTGAAGGAAGCTGGGCTCAGTGGCTCAGCCTGTAATCCCGCGCCTTTGGGAGGCTGAGATGAGTGGATTGCCTGAGCCCGTGGGTTCGAGACCCGCCTGGGCAGCGAGACCTCATCTCTACAATAAATAAAAAAATAAAAAAAAATAAAAAGTCAGCCGGGCATGGTAGCACATGCCTGTAATTCCGGCTACTTGGAAGGCTGAGGCGGAAGGATCGCTGGAGCCCAGCAGATCGAGGCAACGGTGGCCAGTAGCGGCCACTGCACTCCAGTCTGGGCAACAGAGTGAGACTTCAACTGAAACAAAAAAAAGAAGTGAAGGCTCTCAAAAGTTAATTGAAAATCTAAGAAATGAAGACTTTCCATTTCACTAGAACTAGAGACTTTTAACATCTTTACTCCTCACACTAAAAGTTTTACTTCCAGCTCTGTGGTTGTTTTATCTTTGGTTCCAGTTCTTAACCATACTAAGGTGTCCTGTCTGATGTCAACCAGGAGCAAAAGCTGAAGTTCCTGTGGAGCTTGGATTTTGTAATCATTAAGATTCTCTAAGCTAGAATCAGTTGTATAGGTCAGGGATCCCCAGTCCCCAGTCCATGGTCTGTTAAGAACGAGGTGCACAGCAGGATGTGTGCAGCAGGAAAGAGGACCTCAGTCTTCTGTCAGAGCAGTGGCGGCACTAGATTCTCATAGGCGAGGCAACCCTATTGAGAACTGCTCGTGCAAGGGGCCTAGGTTGCCACTCCTTATGAGAATCTAGTATCTAACGATTCACACCCCTCCCTTCACCCTGCCCATGGAAAAATTGTCTTCCATCAAACTGGTCCCCGATGCCAAAAAGGTTGTGTACTACTGATGCAGATTACTGTGGTACCACCAAACCAAAGAAGCTTAATTTTGGGAGGACTAATACACAGATTTTCTATAAAGGAATATGCATCACTTCAGTGAAAAAAATTGTTAATGAATTATTTGGAAAGATAGATAAATAAATGATAGTTTATAATGCACCAAAACTTTTGTATACATCTTATTTTCTAAAATAAGAAGGCTGCTGAGGGAGACAGGACAGGCATAGGATTACTTATAGTTTCTGGCTAGAAATGATTTAGTTGGGATGTTCACTGCTAAGAGCCAAAAGTCAAACTAATATGCTCTGAGCACTTAGAACTAGAAGTATGTTGTTTCATTCATTCTTCACAAAATTCTATGAGGGAATAAACATCCCCATTGTACACTGAGGTCAAGTGAAAATGTAAAGGAACTCCACAGACCTCACAATTTGAAAAGTAAGAATCAGGATTTCAACACAGAATGGGCTCAGTTCCTTTTCGGTAATGTTGACTCTGTGGCTAGTTTCAAGGAGTCGAGAAGTTCAGTTGACCAACTGGAGAGAAGAATCTTGATCCAGAAGCAGCACAGACTTGAGTTTGGGCACAGATAGAGAGCAGGTCAGGCTTTGGAATGAGACTCAGATAAAGACAGTTGTGGAAAATCATGACTCCAAGGACTGCCAGAAGTAGAAGCTCAGAAGACTTCCTAAAATGCAGGAATGATGGACAAGGGCGGCCTCTCTACCTTCAGACAAAAAACCTGTTGTTGCCCATAACTCTGCTGCTCCAGCTGAAATCACATGCAACTCCCACAATCTTTGGTTTGCCTCCTGTGCTTTCAGCTGATTCGAATGTCTGCCTGCAAAACACAACTCCAATTAATGTGAATATGCTGTGTTGAACTTAAATAAATATCAAATCACATTTCTGCTCCTTCCCCTCACTCTTCCTCCATTACCTTAGCAGGAGCCCTAATGGTTCAAGTGTGACAAATCCTAATAGTACTCTTAATTTTTGCTGTTAAAGAAGCCAATATCCAAGCAACATGATTCTGCTTCTCTGTATGCCATCAGTTTCAAAAGAGACGAGGCACTATGACCAAAGCATAAAAGTGGCATTTAAAAATCTTATTGGAAAACTGAGGTCCCTAGTTATAACAAAAGCATCTGTGAAGTATGATTTCTATCTTGCTTTTGTTAATTTACCTTTGATAGCCAACACGCTTTCATGGAGCACCTATTCTTTGAAAAATTAATGTGTTGGTGTAGTTTCTGGGATGCCAAATAAAACAAAATAAAATATTGGTCAAAAATATAATATTCCTTCATGAAGCACACAAAAGGGGCTCAGTTACATAATGATATAACTATATAATGATATAGAAAGAAAAATGCATATTTTTATAATAATATAAAGACAATAAAAATAACACAAGTGAGGTACAGCTAAAATACTATGTGGATTTAGAGGCAGAGATTATGTCCATTTGGAGAATGGACTTCTTAACGAAAGAGGCATTAGAGGTGAGTTGGGAAGAAGAGGGATATGTTGGCCACCATAAGGACATACGACATTTAGATTAAATTCTGAGTGAAATGAGATGGATTAAATTCTGAGTGAAATGAGATGGTTCCATCAGAAGAGTGTCCAAGTGTGTCCATAAGAGTGTCCACTCTGCTTCAAGGACTATACAACAGAGCACAGAATAGTGTGCCCATGTCTATCAGATGTAAGCTCCAAGATTAGTTTCTCGTCTTCTACTCATTATCACCCAAGGCCTATATATTTACTTACTTATTTGTCTGCTCCTATAATAAAACACAAGTTTTATAAGAATAAGCACTTGGCTTTCTTTCTTCCATTATCCTCAATGCCTATAATATCTCAGCATGTAGCAGGTTGCTTGATAAATATTTACCATTTATCAGTAGTCAATTATACAACAGAGCCTTATATTTCCTCCTCATTTAACCCCTGTATAAACCTTCAGGGTATTTATCCTTGTCCACTTTTTACACATGAAGGATCTGAATTTCTGTAAGGATATATACCTAGACAAAATCACATGGTCACATCCTGGCATTTAATACGTGTTTGGAGGAAGGGATTTGACTTAGATCTCTGCCACTGAGAAGGTGTAATAGGCTCTAGAATAGCTCAGAGGCTTTATACATTGGAAGAGACCCATGTCCTTGCTAGAGCCTTATGGCATGTCACAGAAGCCTGGCTACATTTAAAATCTAAGGTGGTGGCTCTTAAACCTTCCTGCCATTAGACTCTTCAGGGCAACTGTGGTAGAGGCAGGATATTCTAAAAAAAATACTCATGTCTGAGACACTCTCCAGATATCTGGTAGAGGCAGATACATTAAGGGATTCTTTCAAAGACCTCCATGTTCCAGCATGACTTAAAAGCAGCAGTGAATTTTGTGTCTGTAGCATGACACAAAGTAGTATCTTTGGACATATGACCATGCATGTTGGAGTCAGGGATACCTCAGAGCAACTTCCAGTGGGATGCTAGCCACCTCAGCAGACCCTACATGGAGACAGCACATGGGGGTGGGCGGTTTTACCCTGGTTCCCTGATCAACGTCTTGGCATCATGGGTGCTCACCCATTTAGACAGGTTGCAGCTCAGTGTTGACTGAAGGCAGAATTAGGGCTTAAAACAGAACATACTTTGAATTATGAAACAATAAAGAGACTACATTTGTATACAACTGGCAGTGTGAACTGAAGTCATACTTGCTGCATGTTGGTTTTCATCCAGGACTGCAGAGATTTCATAGGCAGCATGTGTCTGCTCCACAACCTCGGTGCAAACCTGGAATTAGAACAAAGTCCTTTGAGGTTGGCTGTGAACCCATGGGAGGAAGCACAGGCAGAGGAAACTTTCAGAAGACACCATGGATGCTATAAAGGAGTTTGCTATGGTGATATGGAGTTTAGAAGAGGGCTAGGGGATATTTTAAACTCTCTGCATAAATAAGTTCAGGAGGCAGAAGAAAGGGAGAAAGGTGAAGTCAGCCTCCTTCCATGTTTGCTGATAGCTGCTTTCAGGGCACCAAATGAGAAAGTGCAGCCTCCTAACTTTTTACCAAACCATTTTTCCACTGCTTTGATCAAACATGTGCTATGCTGGACTTTGTGCTTTTACAGTGAGGCATAACAGTCTAAAAACCAGATTCATCAGACTAATCCTCACTTAACAGACTTGAAAAATAATTAACAAACATTAGTAGTTAAATATGGGAAAGATAATCCTAATAGTGACTACACTTGCTAGAACCCAGACTTCGAAAATTATTTTACAAAACTAGAAACCGAAGTGGGGAGAAGTGACCCAAAGCTATAGTGAGATATTGGCCATGCAGAAAATAGAATCTGGGTATCCCATCTGCCAAATCACTGTTTTGTTGATTCGTTTCAGTTCATCTTTTACTGTCTTGGTTTCTAGTCTCTTCTATCACTTTCTTAGATAATTTGTGTGGGTAGAGATCTTTGCAAGACATTTTAATGGAAAGACAATTTTCAAGCCTGTTGACGTGAAAGCATTCCTAATGTAATTCCTGCAAAAACAAACCAACCAACCAGCAAACAACAACAACAACTATGTATATAGAGCAGGATACTTCTTGCCTTTCTAGTTTTAGAATTATAGCTATACATTAAAGTGCCACCTTTCCCTTCTGTAAGTTTTCTAGAATGCAAGCAAGCAACTTTCTTGGGGGAGGTGGTGTTCTACAGTGGAACAGATCTGTAGAGGGACTGGCCAGGCTAACCTGAGGGCTAAGTGTCTCTGCAGAGCTAGAAGAGGGAGTGTCTGCTTTCATTGATGATTCAAAGCAGGAGAATAGTTGTAAAGAAATGAAAAGAGCGACCTCCCTGAAATTCAACTTACAGAATCACCAAAAGCTGAGAATCCTACCCAACACTAAAGCCACAGTTCAGACATGGGTCAAATTGTACATCTGTCAGACTTGACTTTGCTCTGTTCCTTAACTGAACAGGATTGTTACACTCCCTCTGAGGGAGTCCCATTAACCCTTTGAAGATAAATCCTACAGGAAAACGCTCTTAGGCATCCACCTATTGTGATATGTGCACACACAAAAAGCACACAAGCACACTGTGCAGGAGAGATGTCTGGGCAGTTTGAAAATGTTGCAGTGCAGGAGGGGCTCTATTTTAAGAACAAAGAGAAGGTGACGTTTGAGAGTTTCAGGGTTTTATGCCCACAGAGGAGTGGCTTCAGGGTACTCACACTGATGGAGATCTGGTGCTATGACTTCAGCACCTTGGTTTGGTGGTGAGTGTAATGCTGCCTACTCTGCACAGTGCCCATTTCGGGGAAATGTTTAGGGCTTGACAATAAGGAAACATGATCCCAGCTCTGAGAAAATACCTGTGCACAACAGAAGAATTGGAGGAAAGTTCCATGAAATCTTAGCCATGGTATTAGTGAAGTAGTAACTTCTCTCTATTTCACTACATGTTAGTGTAATTCTAAATTCTAATACATGTGGAGTCTTTATAAAAATAGGTTACACTTAGCCATTTTTTCCGGATTCTAAAAACTACATGGCTTTATTATTGAAAATGTTGTTAAGAACAGCTTGGATGAAAAACTTAAAACCCCAAAATTATATCATTCAGAATTGCCATACTAATTACTACTAACTTTCTTCCAGTCTTTTAACCTGAGCAAATATGCACATCTACACACATAAGGACAGATGTGTGTATATATTATATCACAAAGATAGAAACTTTCTGTATATATCTTGCTGAATCTTATGGTTTCTATATGGTGAAAACATAATCATTAAATATGTCAGCAAATACTCTATAAAATTTGTTCAGTTCAATGTTTTTCAATGTTTCATTTTTAACTGTTGCATAATGCATCATTATAAGTGCATATAAGAATAAATTGTTTTAGATAATTATTTCCATTGGGCAGTCAATTTATTTTAATATTGCCATACCAAATGCAACACTATGATGAATTTCCCATTTACACATGTTGTTTTACACTTGTTAGATTAATTTTTAAGATATATTCTCGAAAAAGAAATTGATGAAGGAAAGAAACATGCATTTTTAAGTTTTTAAAAAATATTTTGCTAAATTGTCTTGAGGAATGCTTGTCCCCCCCAAAAAAATTGTATGAGTATTAGAGTTTCTGCTACTCCACACCCATGCCAACTCTAGGGATCATATTTTTTAATCTTTGGCATATGCTATTGTTGAGTTTTAAATTTTTATGTATGCATATATATACTTTTTCTAGATATGAGTGCTTGTCAGAAATATAGCTTGCAAACATTTTCTCCCAGTTTGCAATTTGTCTTTTCATTCTTTTCACATAGTCTTTCATAGAACAAAATTTCACGTTTTAATGAGCTTCAATTTATAAAATTTTCCTTTTATGGATTATGTGTTTGGTATCGAAGAATTCTTTGACTTATTCTGAATTTGGCAAATTCCAAAGATTTTCTTCTAAAATTTCATAATTGCAGAAGTACCATGACCCATTTCGGGTTAATTTTTATATAAGGGGTTTAGGTGGAGGTTCATTTTTGTGCCTATGGATGTCCAACAGCTCAGCAATGTGCTCTTAAAAACATATTTGCAAACAGCAACATTATTTAGTGATCATACTTAGCTAATAGTTTTTTAGTTGCTTTATTTTGACTTTGCAGATATAGTCTGTTATTTATTTTCTAATTGTTTTTATTGTTAATTTTTTCTTTATGTTATAATGTATTTGCTTTTTAATTGGCAAGTGTTTGCAGTCATTTCAAAATTTTCATTTGTAATTTTATTATATCATGTCATATGAATGTGACCTATACACTTTCTAATGTATAGAATTGACAGTATTTGACCTAACATAGAAGAATTAGAATTATTGCTTATATGATATAGATTATATTATATACTTATTTAATCAACCTCATTAATGAAATCACTTATTGTATTAGCAGAGGGCATCGGTCATATTGAGAATGCTGGACAACAATTCATCAAATGTCAATTAAATGGAAATTGTTTAAGAGACCATATACTATGAAAAAAAGATATTTGCAGAAAAACCATAAAGAGTTGAATTTTCTCTCTTCCCTGACAAAACTAGGTTCACTACTTCAAACGTAAACATATACTGGCTGATGTCCATTTCTCAGAGAGCACTGGTAGCCAGTACAGTGTTCTTTATTTGACTCACACATATATCCACTCTCCATTTAAAATGTATGCTTGTTAAGAGTCAGTGGTATCTCTGTTCAGGGTTATTATGATCATACAGTTGAATTCAATCTTATGTACATTTATGATCTATAATCAAGAGAAGAGAACTTCTATAATTATGAATTTAACATTGGACACACTAAATGCTAAAGTAAAAAAAAAAAATGTATTGAATTAAGTAGTGGCATAATAGTTGTCAAAGCTTCCAGAAAATTCTGGAAGAATACACATGCCAATTTTCTCAAAAGAGTGTCTAAAATCTTGCTTTTTGTCAAAGAAAATCAGTTGAAAACTGTAAAAGTTAATTTTGTCAGGGTATTTTTTATGAAAATAATTGCATTTTCTGTTAATTTTGGATTCTTGTATCTCTAGTTTTATTTTTAATCGTTAGCAATAATAGTGGTTAATTATTATTTTATATTATATACCTTCTATTTCAAGAATTCTGATTTCATCTATCTTTTTAATCACAATTTTGATAAAGTCAGAGTTTTTCAAGAAGTTAGCATTTTTAGCGTTTTTCTTGTTAATCTTCACGTTACAGACTCCTAGTGTGTGTGTGTGCTTTTAGTTTTGCCTCATCTCCTGAATGCTGAGCATGTCTTCAAGAGAGGATATAGGTTTAACTTTCAATACCTCTGGTGGAACAATGGAGAATTATGCATTCTTTTTCTCATTCTATAGAGAGAAAAAAGGATACACTGAAAGAAAGAATGACAATCATAACACAATGCTGCCATCAGAAGAATATTCTCTTGCCTTCCAGCTTTGTAATTCTTTAGCAATTCTGCCCAGCACGATATAGAAGTGAGCCTTCTATAAACGTTGGCTTCTTTTTCTTCCCCTTGTTCCTGAATCTTGTTATGCATACACTCAGGCTTCCTGCATTTTCATAGAGAAAAGTAAAGACAAGTTCAGACCCCTGAGATTTCAGTATATGCTCTGACCACTTGCTAAAGCAAATGCTTCCTTCTTAAAATAGTGTAAGATAGCAGAGACAAATAAAACATATTTACATAATAATGTCAGAATTTTCTCTTAATGTGACCTATGAGGTTAAAAGCCTTCCCATTCAAGAGTAGATCAAAGTTATTTGAAATGGATATCTACAGCCCAGAGGGAGATTGAGGGGAGAAAAAAAAGAGACATTAGACATGGGATGAGAAAGGACAACAGAGACAGAAAAAGAAGTCAACTAAAAAGATGGAAAAAAAAAGTCTGAGGTGCTTAATTTGCTTTTTCTACTGGGTCAGATTATACTGGTAGGCTGTTTAGTGTAACGGTATTCAATGGGGTTGTCTTGTTGATGCTGTTATTTTTAAGATGTTAAATTGGTCATAACTTTTGAGTGTCTACTGCAGACAGCTCTGTGCTGAACATTAGGGAAACATTGCAAGAAGGGCTAAGAGCAGACGCAGCCTTGATCCAGAAGGTGTTTAGAGTACGATCCAAATGCATTATGCTCATAGACACCGTGGTCATGGAAGTGACAATTCTGGGTCAAACTCAATATCCACAACTTCCTTGTGTTCAAGCCACAACAACAAATACTTGATAGACTATAAAGATATG